TATGGAATTGGTTTGGCAATAAAAAAAACATTAAACATATGTTATCTCCATACTTCTTTTTTGAGAAAAAAAATATATACTTGATATACTACTTTGGAGAAACGCATATCATTTAGGCTCCAAATTGTGACCACTAAAAAAAAATGATGAGGAATATTGAATTCCAGTTCATTTCTTAAAAAAAATACATCATCGATAAAGAATTTTTGGTACATATGATTCTTTTTCATTCTTCTTCATTCCTCTCGTCCTGCAAAAAAAATTATAGAACAAAAATATTCTTTATCAAATTTGAGAAAGAACAAGAGGAACTGATTTATTTTACAATTCCTTTTCATTCTTCAAATTTTTGTTCCTTTTCATTTTTTTAGATTAGATTATGTATATGTGGTTCGGTTTATTCTTGGTTTAGAATCTTGTGTAGATTGGTTATTAAGCTGGTTTAGCTTCGGTTAGTTGAACATGTATATAAACACTACGTATAGCTTTGTTTACTCTTAACATAAACATATTACAATTTCCGGATTCTCTTGTGTTCATCTTCATCTTCTTTATGAGAGCTTTAGTTTCTGATCATCATCAAATCTTTTTTGTTAATATTTTTCTTTATCATTAGTTTTGTTTTTCTAGTGGTCACCAGTTCGAATCTTATTGTTATAAATTAAAATATACCAGCATAGACTATGTCAATAATTTTCCCATTAACAAAAAAAAAATACAATAATTAGATCATGTTGCTGAGCAGAGATCGATCGTGACTTAGGCTCCGAATGGAGAAAGCAGATCAAGCAGAGCGGATCAAACGGATCAAGTAGATCAAGGCTGTGAGTGGGAGCATGGGACAAAAGCAGATAATTAGCAGAGCAGGGGAATAACATTATTTGTTACCATTCACAGAATTGTCAAATCAACAGCCATAAATAAATAAAAAATTCTCACGAACCACTTGCAGGACAAATTATGAAGATAACATTATCCCACTTGCAGATTTTCATCCACTTGTCTTGGAGAGTAATCGGTCCACTTGTGTTTGCAGATCTGCCTTTATTTTTTATTTTTTAAATTGTCACAAAAATTTGCTTATAAAATGACAGTTTTTTTCATACATACTTCAAACCAAATTTGCTTAGAGTCGAGAGCACTTCTTTTTTTTTTTTGGCATAGTCGAGCATTTGAGAAATTTTCAGTTGAATACAAAAACCTCTTCTCTAAAGGTATGATCTTTAATTTTTTTTTCCCTTTTTGTTCTGAGTTTGACAAAAAAAACACAAATTTTATTTTGTTTGCTCGTAAATAATTTACGTATTTTGCATTGCCTAACTTTTAGTAAATGGTTAGTGGCATGAGATTGTTTTAAAGTATGTATATTGTTTAATAATTTTTTAGTTAAGATTTTTATTCCAATTTTTTTATTATTTTAATATATATTTTGTACTACTATTTATCTGCTTTCACCATTCAAACATATATTATGAATTGTATTATGCACTTCTCGAGCTTGATCTGCTAGATCTGCTTTTTTCCTATTTGGGCTCCGAATAGAGAAAGCAGATCAAGCAGAGCGGATCAAGTAGATGTAGCAGATCAGAGATCGATCGTGACTTAGATTAATGATCGGTACAATGTAGTCTAGAACTTAGGATAAAATATAAAGATATAAAAGCTAAATCCCCCAATTATTTTAGC